TGGGCCAGCTACTGGAGCTGAAGGGAGGAGGACTGTCCTTCCTTGTACCGACATTATATATGTTGGTTATCAGGAAGTGTGAGCTGCCAGAAGACCAGCCTGAGCACAATGCACTGTGCCAACGCTGGGAGAGTGAGGGGGATGGGAGACTAAGCAGAGGACATCTGGAAGCACAACTTAAGGGAGAGGGAACGGGCATAGAAAGCAAAGAAGTTGTGAGAATGCCAGAATCATTTCACAGGAAAGGCTAGGAGCCTCTTTTGGAGATACAGGATAGGAAATACTGTTAAAAGTAGACTGGAGGAGGAATGAGTTAGCTGGATTGAGGAACAGAGCAGAAGGGTTGATAGCCATTGGGAGCATGTTCCTCTACAGAACCTGCAAGACAGCTTGACAGTGTCAGTGTGATTTTATGTCATGATATTTCCAGGATTTGGTGGACTTTTTCTCCCCCAGCTTGCTCTGTACTTTTTTTTTTCTTTTTTTTTTTAATCTTTCTCTGCTAAAAGAATAGTGAAGTGCTAAACTTAATGCTTGTAAGTTAGAAATTGCCAGCATAAAAGGCAGTAGGCTGTTTCAGTTGACAAGGATTTGTAATGTATAGTCTTACCTGATTATGTAGTTGTTGAGGTTCCCTCATATGATCCTAGTTATTCAGTGTTTTTTCTTTATCTCCACTGCTCAGTGTGCACCCTATGTATTAATTATTTCTCAGCATCCAAACTCTGCAGAATTATTAATTTAATAGGCCTTTCTCTATTACTGTTCCTATAATATTAAAGATGGGAAAATAAATTTCCTAATTCCTGCGTGAGGTAATTAAGTCCAAAGTTTTTTCCATGTGAAAAACGTGCGGTGATGAAAGCTGAAATTATCACAAGTACCTCTTGTGCTTGGTAAGAGATAGGTAAGGCATGATATGATCTCTTGGAATCCTCATCTTTTTCTAGCGTTTTAGACGTCTGGAACAAAACTCTTATTTAGCAGTTGTAGTTATGTTCAGCCCTGTAAATCAGAGGTGACTGGGTTTGTCTATGCTGTCAGTCAGAGTGAGGTTTGGGGCTCAACCCTAAGAACAGATGTTAGTCACTGTACATGGTATAAAAGCTTTGGCTTTCCCCAAGTAGGCTGGCTTAGTCTGAATGCTCATCCTTTCTGGAGGTGAAAGCCCTCCCTGAACATGCTTCTGGCCTTGATGCAGACCCATGCTTGTTCAGTAGACCTGGATGGATCTGGCAGAGGCCAGGCTGAGGAGGTAGCAACCCAGACTGCAACAGTGTCCTCTGCATACTCTGCAGAGAATTTAAGACCAATTTTAACCAAGTTGTAGCCAGCAGCCTGGATGAAAAGTTCTGGACGCTGTATGCTTCCACGTGCTCCTTAGCGGATGAGAGACGAAGAAGATAATGTCTCTGGTTCAGGATGTCCCTGAGTCACAAGCTACTACGAGAATGATGTCTTCTCCTAGACACGTGCAGTTAATCCCTGTCAGAGTCCTGGGCAGGATGGATTTTAGTCTGATCAAGTACTTTGATTTTTCTTTTAAGGGTGGACAGTGTTCCTTCAGTCAAGCAAACAGCGAATGAAGAGCATATACGCAAGTGATTTAATTTCCCCCAGCTTTAGCAGCCTAAAAGTTGCACATCTCTTCTGAGCTGCTTATCTCAGCCCCCTTTGGGAGAGATGATAGACTATTTTGAGCAGAATTAATTACTCTGTAAGATGGGGAGGATCAACTGCTATCTAGAACCACCTGTGCTTACGGAGTAAAACCCAGGCATTGGTTTAGACTAGACGCTTTCACTTTTAAGCAGCTAAAGTTTAGTCACTAAGACCTGGATTTGCCACTTGATTTTGATGTTAAAGTTAAGCAACATGCCCCATGTTATGTAAGAACTCTGTAACAGATCCCAAAATAGAGTTCTTGACCTTTTCAGCGGTTCATTTAGTTAAAGGAATCCTAGGGAAGTGGGTTTTTTGGGGGGGAAGGCATAAACATAGCTGACGTTTGTCTGCACATGTCTACAACGCTTAGTGCAAAATGGTAAGCGATACTGCATTTTGGTCTCCTTCCCTCTCCCTCCCCCCCCCCCCCCATGCACACGCTTTGGGGAGAAAACGGCAGCATTTGGAATATCTGCTGGAACCCATTAAAATCCACAAGACTTGCTGACTGAGCGCCTGATCCAGAGCTACTTTCTGATAGAGTACCTCTGCTGGTTGGGATAGCTCTGATAAACTCTTTAAGAAACGTGGGCCTCTGCTAATCGGAGAATTGGACCATGGCTTTTTTTCTTCCGCTTGGAGTGAACAGAATGAATGAATATGAATGAACGAATGTACAGACTAGATATACAATAGTTGCATGTATTTATTTGTTGACTGAGGAAATCGTTTATATTAACGGTAGAGAACTCGCTCCCCAATCGTTTATGAAGGCATTAGTTGTTTGTTAAAGGACGATGCAGTAATTCCAACTGGCACTACTTTATAGCACCAATTTTTTCTGGAGTTAGGGAAATGGCCATTGTTGCTTTGCCTTGAGGATGAGGGAGGACTTCTCAAAAGCTGTTTCGTCTTTGGATTGTGGAGATTATGTATGTACATATATCTGCGAATACGTATGTATGAAGGAGAATCTGAGCGAATTTCAAAGGAAGATCTGATCCAAGAAACACAGTGCAGTTTAGCTAAGATGACAAAGAATTTCGTGATAGCTTGACTCTACTATAGGATTCAAACGTCTCGGCATGTATGAGAGCTCAGTTGATCACTTGAACTGCAATTAAAAAATAGGACAGGTACGCTCAGAATATTGTTTTTGTGTCAAAAATGTGCCTTCATGCTTGAAAATGATAAAAAATTGCAATCGATCCTTACAACTGTTGTGTTCATCTTTATTGATCAGGCAAAAGAAAGATAAGTCGCAGCCCAAATAAGATTATAGTAAATGTTAGCATCATAGGGGACTGTAGTATGATAGAGAGCTATTCATCATCTCAAATGGTGACCTGTCCGCACTCGCCCCATAGTCAGTCTGCTGTCTAATCACATACCTATTGATTTCATCTACGTCCAAGAAACCTGGATGTGACCGTCACTGGGCAGCCGAGATTGCTGAATGCAAAGAGGTCACTGGTGTGAGGAGGATTTCATTTTCATTTTCTTACTGGCCAACAATGATTTATGAAAAAATAAATGACCTCAAGTCACATGCATGGAAACCTTGATTCCAGTACAAATGAATTATTAGGTCTGAATCTCAGAAGCAGGAGTGCAGTAGACCACCGTGCTCTTTGTGATCTGTACGTGCCCTTTGGCTGCAGTATATGTTACGCAATTTGTTTTAATTTGCGGTAAAATATTAGACTCGAAATGCAATTTTGCTCTTGTTCTCCGTTGCTGTTTTTTCTAGTGATTTCTGTGCGTTTCAAGTTCATAATTCACAAGAACAAACTTTGGAAGATGAGCTCCTCAAGCAAGAAGGAAAAATGTTTTTACCTTTCCGGTTAAAGCTGCCTCTTCTGAAGTTTTCATTGAGCGTTTTTGCCTTATGGGCTACCTGGGCTGGTTTTCTTATAACATAATGTGTCCCCGATAAATGTTGTTCGAGGGATACGTACTAACCCACTGATCACGGAGACTATGTCACCTTTGGCTTTTGTAAGAGGGGTCTTTCCAGTCACAAACTAATATTTTTGGGACAATGTTCTAGGTAGACTCCCTTTGTCGTATATCAATGCCTTGGAAAAATAAATAAAGAAAAAGAAACTGTGCTTACTTTACCCACAACAAACTTGGAAGGACAGTTTCTGTGGACTTCATTGTGCCATCCGAGTATGTTAAACGTTCTGAAGATGCAGAATCATGTCACGATACAGATAACCTTAAACTGTAGTATTAATAGGTCGATTGTTGACATGAGTTTTAAAATTTCGTTTGTGCAAGTGTGGAGTGTGTACTTGTAAGATTGTTGTTACTGGTTTTTGACGTGATTTCTTGGATGCGAGGTGACTCGAGTTGCGAAACTAACTCCAGAGTTCCAGCTCGTGCCAAAAACACTTTTATACATCTCCACAGCGTTACGTTTTCTGTATGCCCCAAGTGTCAGAGGAAAAATTGGTTTTTGAAAACTTTTGAGCTGCTTTAATTTTCTTATTCCTCCAACTGTGAAGCCAGGTGCCTTAGTTATTATATCTTAAGTCCAACTGTGTTAGGGCTATAAAAACCTCTTTAAAAATACCAAACCTATATTATTTAGACATAAAGTGTCGGGACATTATAGTCATTTATCTTGGAATATTCTGCGTCCCACTGAGAAGCTGTGACATTTTTAAGTATTGAGAAGTTTTACTGCTTGATGACTCAGTCTTGTCTGGCCTGCATTTTGGAAATTAATGACTTGGAGAAACGGAGTGAAAGGCTTTCCCTGGTTTAGGGGAGGTAGAAATGTGTTCTGACGCTGACTTATTTTAAAAACTAAAATTAGCAACCGGTTGGAGCAACCTGGAAGCTTGGCACATTGAAATAACTCCCTACGAGATGCGTCTTCAAGGCAAAGAGCAGAAGAGAAAGTCCGATCATAGTTAATTTATTGTGCAACTTGGAAGTTTCACATGAATATCACCTGCAAGCTAGGTGGGGATGTATGTGTCAGTAGCACAAACATGCACACGCGAAAAGATAAAGATTCAGTATTTTGACTTTTTTTTTTCCTCCTGTAGGAGAAACTTCAAATGTCCTAGTACTACCTAATGCTAAATACTTGAATCTTAACCTATCTCCCTTTGAGAGAGCCGTGTCTTTTGCGTAACCTTCCTGAAAAAGGAGGTCGCGCTTATCAAAAACGCTGTGTGTAGCATATTTAAGGCTGTTAAAAAAAAATAAAGTTAATTTATAAAATATCCAAATTGCTATTACTTGATAAGTATTAGCGTTTATGTAATCGATATTACATAAAATCTGTATCATTAAGTTTTTGATTTTTTTCACCTTTCCAGAGCGCGCAGTTCTACAAAGTTACCACAGAGCAATACCAAAAAGCCGCCGATGAAGTGGCAGCTCGGTTCAAGTAAGTTTTTTTTATCGTTATTTTTGAGGCTGGGAAGTAGAGGAACCCTTATCCACATTAAAATGCATAATAATTCCCCTTTTTGCCAGCACAGAGCCTTTCAGTCTGTGCTGGAAAAAATGCTGGTTATTGAAATGAGAGAATTTTGAAGAATTTGGAAGGCAATCCACAATAACCATAAGCTGCATAGAAATTAGATGTACAGTTATCAAATATAAATTAATTAGTATTTTATTAAGATGCATGAAATATGCTTAAGGAACATATTTTTAGAATACTTTCACTAATGGAACAGCAAAAATGTAGTTACAAGTTTGCATTACAATAGTATTCATCCATGATGTGGAAGGATTTAAATTAGCAACTTAACTTTGCCCCTAACAGTAAAGGTCAAATTAAATAATTTTTGTGGGTCCTGAGGATGGTTAAATGAAGATACAGTAACTGATGAATCAAAGGGACTCTGACCCTTAGGCTCGGACTCTTCCCTTTCTGCCAGTTCATCCATTAGGCAGGAGGTTCTGTTTATCATTTTAGTAAGGACACAAAAAGAACTTTTTGCAACCTTTCAGTCTCACCAGTAACCAAGAAATGCTGTATAAAATGAATTTTTCTGTGGCCATTTTCAGGTTGGTGGGTTTTTCTTTTGGCTTTTTGATAGGCAGGAACTTAAAAGGCCGTTTTCAGTTGTTGACAAACGCTATAAAAGTATGAAGTTCTTAGCTCTAAGGTAAAATCATTTTATTTTTTTACTATCATAAGTCGTTAGCTATTCGTTGGTATTTATGTAAAGCCTTTGCGCCAGTTAAGGATGCAAAGTTTGTATCATTGAGGGCTGAAATCCTCTGTCCCTCAAGCAAGAGGAACAGAATGACCACTGACTCTGATTTCAGCATGATTTGAAGGGCCTTCCGTTATGGACGAGAAGCCTGCTGTGTTGTCGCGCATAATAATTTTTTTTCCTCTATGCTAAGGTTCCCACCGAGGGGTGGTTTCCTCCCTTTGTTGCGTTTGGGTGTTTTGAGCTTTTGAAGTCTAGTTATTGCCTACTCTGACTGACTTTATTTCAAAACAAGCTTTTATTGTGATTTGAAGAAGCGTAGGTAGTTATTGTGGCCAGAGATGGGAAGTCTGCTTTTATTCCTAAAATATAAACAATTTCCAAAATGAAGTTAATGCTTTTGGAGTCCTTTTTGCATCTACCATCCTGGTAGATGTAGCAAAGGCCAGTCAATAGTATCACGCGATAGCTCAGAATTTTAAGAATCCCATTTTGGAGGACGTTTCAGTCTGTCTGTATAAACCAGAAGAGTATTTAATAAAGAGGAATCTGGAGAGGGGATCAGAGAACCGTAATGCTTTATTAGATTTTTTTTTTTCTTAATTTTCTAGAGACTAAAGGTGTGTTTAGAAATCACCTATTTGACTAGCCTTCACTATAATGCCGTTACTGAAATTGCTGTGTTTCCTTTGTCAAGCCAAATTTTCCCCAAAATGATTTGAAGAGGTTTGATTAGTGGATCCAGTTTTCATCCATTGCTTTAAAAAGAAAACATTATGATAAGAAAAAAATAGCTGAAAGGTATACACATAAATTGAGGTAGATTTGATAACTGTTGGAAAAAAAAAAAAAAAAGAAAAGAGTGCATGAAGTATCTATACTACTGTATCGTTTTACGTTTTCCCATATATAAAATCCTTTTAAATGGTATGTCTTTTTTACTGAGAATTTAAACTTAGCAGATGTTATTTTAACGCTGCCTTTTGTATGTGGCATGATGGATAAATTATGAATGATTTAGTGAAACCTAAAGATGGTGCTCTTTTGGTGTCAGTAGGCACTTCTCATGTTCAGTTTAATTGCACGTGAGGATTGAGGACGGTTTTTCAAGCAGTGGTGTTTAAAGAGCTTGTTTAATTGGCTGTAGAAGAAGAATTAAATAAGGTTGAACTGCTAAATTTGTAATTTTGTTAATGCATAAGCCAATGTGCTGCATGTCAGTGTGATTTCCAGTTCCAAGTGAAAGATTAATAGGTCTAATTGTGGTATTGGTATGAAACAGTCTCACTTAGTTTTAAACATGTCTAGAATTTTACTAAGTTTTGTTCAGAGAACTTGCACGTCTGCAACTTTTTAAGCTGAATCGGTTTCCAGAGGGAAGAGGAGTGGATAATGACTTAGATATTTCCTGGATTTTCCTTTCCTTCCTCTGTTTAGTTCCTGAAATTACATCAGCTGTGGCTTCACCAGTCTTTAGGGATAACTCATCCTGTTAAAAGGGAAAACCCAAAAACCCATGCAGACTTGGGGTCAGAGCATTGACAGGTCTTCTGCATTTTGTCTGCCATCCTTACTGATGCCTGCTTATGACTTTCTTCAGTGCTGCATGAATTAGACTGATATTGCACATGTTCAGGATAAATGTTTTATCTCCGTCAGGTCCTGATTCACATTGATCAAATTCTAAATTATCAGATGGTTCATCTCTTTAGGACACTAATTCACATTGATCAAATTCTAAATGACCAGGTTCAGTCAGTTCCTGCAGTACACAAATTACATTAAAGCAACATTACTAGAGCATGCTGCCTTTTCTAATGTAGGAGTTATGTTACCCGCAGTTACATTATAACCAGAATTATTATATTATGAAGATGTCTCTGCTATAATGAGAAGTTTACACAAGAAGGAAAGAATGCAATATTACAGGAAGAGCTGGGCTTTGGACGAAGGTTTAGGCTTTTACTAATCAAATTTTACATTTTGTATTGTCCTCCCCCCAAGTCTTAATTGGAAGGACCGGTAGCGGGAACTTTAGCAGCTGCAGTGGTGACATTTTATTCCCCCGTGGTGTTTAGAGCCAAGTAACATCTTGATTATTCATTAGGAATAGAGCAAGTAGTAGATAGGGCAAATTCTGCTCAAAGTAAATTTTTTTTTTTGATTCCTTACAGCAGACGACAGACTTTATAGCTATTCACTAGTGCTTTTTCAAAGTATTTAGCCATTCCTCGCCTGTTGCAATGCTCTCTGTTAAGCCACATGGAGTTGCTTATTGCTGCTGGGTTTTTTTTTTTTTTTTTGGCAAAAACCTATTCCCCGGCTGGCCCGACTGTACAGGCTGAGAAGTTATGAAATCCAGGTCCTCTTTGGGGATCAGCTATTCATTTTGACTTGTGCTGTCCAGGTGATGTTTGTACAAAGCGAGGGCAAGTTGTTTTTCTCAGTATCTCAGTGTGTCACTTTGATGCTTCTAAGCTCCCATCTCTTCAAGGAAGCCAAATTCTGGATCTTGTGCTTCACAGCGCAGTGGTGTTTGCCTCTGTGCTAATATGTTGGCAGATGCTAACATCTAGGCTCCTGGATGAAATTATCCAAGGCAAACAGTCTTAATCATGGAAGGTTTTTGCATCATGAGGTCTGGAAGCTCGGTTTCTTCGTTTTGAATTGCAGATTTTGAAGGCTTCAGTCGCTTACCGTGAGACTTACGATCCTGAACCGCGCCGTTAGGAGTAACGCCTCGGAGAAATTGTAGCAGTTAGCTTGATTCAACATAGTAAGGTTTGGGGTTTGTTCTGCCTGCTTCACATAGGACTGTTTAAAAACATTTTTACAAACTAAATGAATGCGTTTCACATGATGCTGGGTAATTTCCGTTGCTTTGATAGTTGGATCACTGACGGAGGTAAGGCCTCTCTGATAGCTGGCAAAACAAGATCAGTTAGGTGTTTTGATTCAGGATGGGGTGAATCACAGTATTTAACAAAATATCAATATCGTGCATTCCTTTCATTGGTGACATCTGTATCATGGAGCGTGGTTTATTAATGTTATTGAAGATAAAGTTTAAAGTGCAGTTTAGTTATGTTTGATGGCCATCCGTAAATACACGGAAGCATTAAGAGTATTTGCTTAAGTTGTATCTTAGCTAATAGTTTTTTGAACTGGAAACTGTAGCTGAAAAGGAGTTTGTCATGAAGCCACGTTAATGAGAACCAGCGAGACTTAGATCTTCAAATGCAGTTGTCTCGCAAAGCTGTGATGCCTGTTTTGTGGACACTGGAAAAAAAATGCAGTACAGAGAGAAAGTGAGCTTTTTAATGGCACCGCTGGACGGAAAGCAGAGAATTCTTGTTCCCCTTGTGATGCTGGGCACGTTCGTTAACTTTTCAGGGACTCTTTTTTTGCTGTCTAATGCGTTATAGTCACCTGTTACTGTTCCATAGACATCCATGTTAGATATGTAGTTTGTGCTTTTATTTTCACTTGTGCAGATCCTGTAGTTAGAAAGCTTTCAATGTGCTAGTTGTTCTCTCTGTTACCTTAATTCGTATTAGTGTTAAGAACTAAAATTACAAGTATAGATTATGAATTATTTGTTAAACCCTACACAGTCTCTTTCCTGGAGCAGAAAATAGAAAGCGATTTAGAAATACTTGCGCGGAGCCTGCTTGCCTTCTTCCAGCTGAACTCCCTTTCCGTCCTGTGAAATGGTGCTCAGGCGAGGGCGGTGGGCCCTAAATAGAAACACCGTGAATTAATCTTTCCTCTCGCGCATGCGGCGCGCGTTGCCGTGCTTTGTCACGGGACGGTTGCCGTAGTTCAGGTGAAGGTGTGTTGTTCTTCAGTTCCTTTTTCTCAGCGTACGGAAGAGGTTCCCACCGCAGATTTCCAAATGTGGCTTTTAATCGTCTGTATACAAATAACTCCTTTTCCACTAGTTCTGTATGAGTTGACCGATCCTCACGCCGCCCTCGCAGTACAGTTGGGTCCCCTTTCCACATTGAAGAAAGAAGAGGAAGCCAAAAAAAAAAAAAAGAAAAAAAAGGCAGAGGGGGTCTCAGGGCTTCTGTAGCAGAGCACATTCAGGCAACGTGCTTAGCTTTCTCCTGCTTCTTTGCACGCGTGGTTTTGCTTCCTGGGGAGACACCGTGTTCCCTCAGCCGGTGAAAGCCTCCTCATCCACGCACGCCTTACGTACGCCTTTGATTTGCAGCGAGGAAACGGGGGGTTACGTGTTCCTGCTTTTTTGGGTCGAGTTGCCTATTGCTTCAGCCACTTGGCAGCTTGGGTAGAGGGACTTCAGTGGCGGGCAGTAGTTACCCTCCACCTGTTTCAGTTCTTCTCCAACCTGTGAACATACAGAAAGGTTCAGAATGTCAAAATTCTTAAAAAGCAAAAAAACAAACAAAAAAATCCCACTTTATTCAGTGCATTTCCCTATGAAATGATGATCGCGTCGTAAGTGACAACTTTATGGTTTTCCCTGTAGCGACATAGATGTTTAACTTTCCTCCTTTGATCAATATAGTCCATTAGGAATGTAGAGTACCCAACAGAGCTATATGAAATATTAATCGTGCACTTTTTAGCTGGTTGCAGATTCCTTCTGCGTGAAGCAGGAGCCGTCCGTTCTGGAAAAATATCTCTGTGTTTTCCCGTTACGCCCAAATTATGAGTCCGGTTGCGCGGGAACGTGTGGTTCCATTGGGATATTTGAACTGTGATGTGAACGTCAAATGTGAGCATCTGCTTGGTCAGGAGACCGTTTTAAAGTGTTGGATGTGTTTTTGAAAGCTGCATCAACTTATTTGTCCCTTATTCAAAATTTAGATAGCCCACCAATTAAGCGAGCCAAGCCAGTTCTTTCCTTGTTTGTCATAATCTCTTTTTTCCCCTCTTGTTTCCTTTTTTGAAATCCTGGCTACGGTAATTAAAGCTCCGCTCAGGCCAGCGCTGATTGTAGATACTTTGCAGTATGGGATGGAGGAAGCAAGGTTACGATTAATTTTATTAAAACTCGGTCATGACGAGGAACTTCTTATCTGATGCGAATTAGTACTTAAAATAACAAAAAATTTTCTAGGAGGTCTTTATATGAGGATGACCTTTATGACAGATGTGGGCAAAGGTGCTTATTTGTCTAATTTTTTTTTTTTTCCCCTCCAGTGTGTCTAGTTGATGCCCCTTCCTCCGTGCCTGTGTCAGAGTGAAAGCACACGCTCGTGTTTCGGCACATCACAGGTTTTCCGTATTTGCTTACACGGACAGGTTAAGTAATTTTATAGACTGCCTTAGGAAAGCAAGCGAGTGAAACTCTTCCTTCATGCATCAGTGGCCAACAGTTAAATTGGCCTGTTCCTTATTTTTGTGTGCTGGTAATCAACCAAGTCCCCTGCAAATTGATGGATGCGCTCATTAAGGGCAGTTCTTGCTGCTGGCTGCAGTTTCGGGAGCCGCTCGTAACCAGTGAGAGCCGACGGCTCGCGGCGCGGCTGGCACGTAGCGCGCGGCAGTGATGCATCTGGCTCCGCGCTCCCTTTCAAGGGCTAAAGCCTCTTGTTTTAATACATCAAGCAGCCTTTGTTGGGATTTTGTGTAAACACAAGTAAATGATTTCCCAATTACGGTATTAAACCAAAGAAGGTTAAAACCCAGAGTCTCGTCTTTTAATTTGTTCTGTGTTTTGCAATCTTGCGTTGCTGAGATTTGCAAATACCTTTTTTTAAGGATTTTTTTTTTTTTTTTTTCTGAGCACAGCAAGCCTCTCCTCCTGAAAGGGAGCATGTGTTGCAGGGTCGATGGTATGGGTTTTTTAAGGAGCATACACCTGCTTCTGGTTACAGGGTGAAGAATGAACTGCCAATTGCCTCGACGGGTTAGACGTGCTCGGCAAGAGCTTGCGCTATCCGTTGGGTTAAGGCCCCCCGGCTATGAAACCAGCCGTTGCGAAATTGCGGGGTGAAAAGACGCCCGTCCTCCTTCGGTCGCTGATGTTTGCCCGTGCGCAAGCCGCGGCAAGGGGGGTCGGTGCCGCTGACCTCTGTTTTCCCAGCAGAGCTCTTGAACGCGATGAAGTGATCAGAGCAGGATGCCAGCACATCGGCACCGTCTCGTCGCTTTGCAAGCTGCACGCACAGATGCTGCGGGCGCTGCATCGGGCGTCACTGATTTACATTCATAACACCTCCGTTACAGCTCGTTTGCTGCTACATGTAATTAACCAATTCATCCTTTTTTTTTTTTTTTTTTCTTTTTACCCCCCTCCAGTAGTGTTGGGCTAAAGCATGGGAAAAACAGACTGCAGTCATTCTGCGTAGACTCCTCCTCAGTGAAGTCACAGTTATAAAGCCAAAGCATACCCTTAAACATTTGGCGAAATAATATCAAATCGTATGCTTTGCTGCAAAGTACTGTCACACCTGGAAAGCAAGGTTTGTAAAAAGAGCGTTAAGCTGTCTTGTTGGCTTCTAGTTCAGATGACGTTAGTTCGATAGTGCAACTTTTCTTTTTAATTGCTGGTAGTAGAAAGTATTACCAGGACTTAAAAATTGTCAAGTTTCTCTAGCAGCTGGCAGGTATATTTCACCTAGCTCCCTCCTTAGCTCTGAAAGGCTAAATGGAATTAAAAATCTGTATGTATATTTAGATATAATTTTTCTTCTCACTTTGGGAAGTTGACAAGACATGAGGCATGCAGAGAGATACGTTTTAGTAGCTGCTTCTCTGAGTAGAGCTGCACTTTTAATTGCAGTTGATCTTCCAATTATGTATTTTGTCTTTCTGTTTGCTTAGGACATTTCTAATTAAGCTGAGTTTTAGAGTGTTGGGCATACCGCTCAGGTCTGGACATTAGTTAACCGGCAAGGCTTCAGCTTAATCTCTCGGTCAGGCCTGGAGCGTTCAGCGAGCGTCACTGTGTCTTCTGATGCTCACGTAGGCTGGGAATTCTACCGCTGTTTAATTTACATTTTTAAAAAGAAAGTCCTCGTTTCCAAAATGTCAGAACAGCACAAACGCTGCTAGTGCTGAAAGCAGGTTCCATTCATTTCTTGCTGGTCTTCATGCGTTTGTGTCTCAGCGCGTTGCAGATATTTATATTGGCCATGTAGAGAGCCAAAGCTGCATCTGCCAACATCTGGAGAAGGACTTGCTGGAGCTGCTGACATCTGGGAGCTGGATAGGGATCGTCACGTTGTGCGTTTCGGGTTTCTCTTTTGACGAATGAGGAAGTTCATCCTTTTGCTGTCATTTGGTGCTGCGTGCAGACTCAAATAAATAAACTAACGCGTGCCAGGTCGCACTTGGTTAACGTAATTTTTTGTCGAATGGAACAAAACTGTGCAGCTGGCTGCTGACAACAGGCGTACTACGCAGGTGGTGGATCATGGAGAAGCCTTTATAAGTCTGCATGGGATTTATGCCTTTTTATGCATTAGCATGGTTAGGGAGTTGTGTACATAATATAAACTCATCGTCAGTTCATCTAGGTGCTACTGTAATAAAAATAATGCAAGAACCTGTATACCTGTGACCTAAGTGCATTCAGTCATCCGTTAAGGTTAAGGAGTTTGACTGAGGTCAGAGGGGCAATATGTGCCGAATCCAAGACTAGAGTTAAGGGGTCAGTGGTCTTGCTGCTTTCCCGCAAACTTTATAGGCTATTCTTTCTACTACAGTGTACGGTTATGAGCGACCTGATTGGTTTGGATGTCATTTACAGGTAAGGGGTTAGAACAGTTCCTAATCTCCCCCACGCCCCGTCTTAACTAGCGTCCAGTGGTGATATTCTGGCTTTCTTTGCAGATCCTCTCAGTTAGCAGTTGCAGCATCATGTGTTTTGGGATCCATCACCTAGCAAGGAAAATCAAACAAATGCTTATAGCAGTAAATGATTTAAAGCAGCAAGACAAGAAACTTCATTTCTCATGAAACAGGGAGAAGGGGTATCAATGACCACGACATCAAAGCAAGTAAAAATATATCTTTTTCACAAAATGTTGGATTGGACTGTGGAACCGCAGATTGCCCGCTTGTTTTCTTATTGAGGGGCAGGAGTTTTGGTTAGAGATGGACTGGTGATTTAACAGGGACAATGACTGCTCTGCCCACTCGCTGCCCGTACGGGAGCGTACTGCTAGGAGAGAACAAAGAGGTTTAATTTAAAAAGATCCAAAAAAGAATAGCTGTTTCTGTAGATAATATGTCCGTCTGGAGACGGACATACTTTCCCCCTCCCCTAAACTTATATACTTTAAACATCATTCGCCTTTGATCCGAGAAACCTTGACATTCACATAACTTAATTCTGGGCAGTAGTGGCCTTTTGTGAATATTAACATTTTAAAGCTTTTTCCCAGAAGATGCACCTTTAAAAAATTTCTTACTCTTTTTAGCTTGAATTTTCCAGCAAGCTGTATCAATGGGCATCTTCTTAAATGTAACTGTACGAGTCAGTTAACCGATCAGAGAGTGGTTCTGTAGTGACTCGCACACCGACTAGGGTGACCTTGCAGGTAGCGTTACACCTGCCTTGTCCGACGAGACCAAAGCTCTGAGCCTTTGAATGCAAAACCCTGATGCTAACAGGACTCTGCATCTGATAATACCATGTTAGTCGGAAGCACTCAGGTCCAACAAGGTAGCCCATCTCCCTAGCAGAAAATTCAGCACTTATTTCCCTCAAAACACTATTGTGTTGTTTAATGTATGTTCTTTACAGGATACTTTTTCCTGACATTCTGCCTTTATTTTGCTTAACCTTTTCCCTGCTAATCTCCGTTCTCCCTATGCGAAATGCTAAATTACTCTCTGAACGTCCTTTTTGCTTCCTTCAGTTGTTATTGCTACGTTTCTAAAGCATGGGTTCTCCTTAGGAGAAAATGTATATGTTGGTCAAGAAATGTCATAATCGCTTTTTGAATGTTTTTACAGCATCTGTTGAGCACATTTCTGTATTTTCTTAAACGTGAGCTTCGTTTTCAAGGAAGCCATTGCTCTTTTGGTGATGTTTTTGAAGAGGGGATTTCCTGAATGTTTTTATTTTACTTTGGGATTTTGAAACATTTTGTCTTTTATAGTGATGACCTGTTATTTACGTTCAATGGTACAAATTTGGGAACGTTAGCTCCACCTTCT